CCCCCACTCTGTCTCTGTCCCCCTTTCTGACTCTGGCTCTGTCCCCCTCTCTGGCTCTGTCCCCGGCTCTGGCTCTCTCTCCCTGCTGGCAGTGGTGTGTTGGCTCCAGAGCCTGCTGTCTGAACTGGGAGACACAGTCAAGGGCAGCTGTGACTCACCTGCTTTTTCATGTGAAGGCCGAGAGGACGTAGGCCACCGACCCGAGTCCCTTGGGGATGACAGCAGCACTGGATGAACCCCAGGCCCCCATCCACAGCCAGACCGTGGAATACAGCCTGCTTGTCAGAGGCTAAAAGCAGGGAGCCCCACCCAGGAAGCTAGTGTCCCGGCAGGTGCCAGCGGAACTCGTGCTAACCTCCAGCACGTTTACCTTTGGGGTGGGAGCCAGATGCTTCCGTGCGTGGTTCGAGCCCATCTCCCCAGCATGGGGATGCCCTCTGTGCCTCCCGTAAGGACAGCTTTTGCTGTCCCCCAGCCCCGCATCCCCACAGAGCAGCCTGCTGGCTGTTGTCGATATGCCTGGTTATAAGGTGATCCGGGAACACGGGAACACAGAAACGGGGCAGCACGCGGTTCCGGAAGCTTAGGACCCAGGGCAGCCGTAAAGTGCAGGTCAGTTTGCCAGCCCCAAAGAAGAGAGTGCCGGGTTGCAGCACTGTTGATGTGTGTGTCCTCTGTCTCGTCGTCCCGTATGCTCGTCTTGGACGCTCCGTACATGCTCGCCTCTCCTTGTGGAGCACATCTCCAGCCTTCGCCGTCATCCAGGCGGGGGCTTCTCACGAGCGTGCTTGGCTAGAGCTTCCCCTCTGCACAGGTGCCACCTCACCTCCCCCCACCCCTGCCCCAGTCACGGGCCAGGGACTTGGCCAGTGACGGGTTAGGAGTCGCTTCTTCAGCAAGGGGGGCACAAGGGGAACCACCCCCCCCCCACCCCGCCCCGATCACCTTGCCTGATGAAATGCAGTCAGATGCTTCAGCAAGCAAGCAAGCGAGATCAGGTGCACAGCTTTGGATTCCAGCACCACACGGGAGGAACCCTCGGCTGCTGTGTTGGGTGTATCTCCCTGACCGGGGCAGCGGGTGCGGGGACTGGTTTACTTGCTTTGATTTTCACTCCATCACTCTGGCCGTCACACAGTCTCCTCTGAGCTCAGCAGACCCAGCCGTACTGTCCCCAGGCCGTGCTTTGTGACAAAGAGGCTGTGGGGAAGGAGGGCAGGCTGGCTGGCTCTGGCCCCCAAGGGTGTGGTCGGGCTGCCTCAGTGGTTTGTGAAGGGGGTGTTACAGCAACCCTGGTTCCCTAGGTTGCCGACTCGCCACCACGTGATCTGTGCCCTTGTGTTCTGGGCTGAGTGTAAGGGGTGGCTGAGGTGACAACGTGAGTTCTCCCTGTGGAAAGCAGGCCCCGCGTGGAGGCAGAGTCCTACTGAGGCCAGCAGATGCCCCACACTCCAAATCAGGCTCAGGTTGACTGCTCCAGACCTCTCTCCGTAGCAGGGGAGGGGGCCCTCTGTAGCTGGGGGTGTTGGGTGCCGCTCACGCCTGGGAAACCTGTACTCCCCGGAGGACTTGGACGACACAGCTGGCCACTGGGACTGCTTTCTGCATGCAACCAGTTCCCTGGCCCTTTTAGCCATCTACTGTGGAGACAAGAAGCCTCCCTGCCCCGACCCCACGCTCCAGCTGGAGATAACACGGCCACCAGTCCCTACTCTCTGGGGTGTGTGTGTGTGTGTGTGTGTGTGTGTGTGTGAGACAGTCAGGAAGGCTGGGCAGTATAAGGCTTCCCAGGGCTTGATCTGACATCATTCCAAGCGGATGATAATTCCAAGGCTGCTCTCTCTGCTCCCGTCATCCTCCAACAAACACCATGGACTTATTTATAAAGGCAGGCCCCTGGGTGCACTTCTCACGGGAAGGACCGCGGTGACAGCGATGGAGAGGGTGGTGAATGGCACACACAGTGCTAATGAAGGGGGAAGTGCCTGGAACACAGTGTGTGGGGAATTCGAGGCAGGCTGGTCCCATCCAGGGGGAGGATCCCAGGCCCGCTCCAGGCCCCGGCCCAGCTGCTGTGGTCTGCAGTTTGGCTCTCAGAGGTCTGCTAACGTATGATAATATGCCAGCAGACGTGGATTGTCTCGTGTGTCAAGGGCGGGGGCATGAGACGAGCTGCTTTTTTCCTCCCAGGGCTGGCAGGAACTGGAAATAATTGGAAGTTGTTAGGGTCCAACATGCTGTCCCGAAAACACTATCATTAATTTCCTAATGACTAACTGTGTCTTTCAGGAGGCAGCTGAGGGGACGAGGGCCCCTGGCGGGGACGGGGAAGTGGGAGGCTGGCAGCCTGTAATCTGGGGGTGGACCGAAGGTGTTGTGCTGCGCCTGCACCCCACACTCTGGCCTCGGGAGCGGGGACCCCAGGGTCCTTCTGTCCCCTCTGCCCACAGAGTCAAGGGGAGGGTGACAGAGCCACGCAGTCAGGACACGACACGTCCACGTCCTGCAGGGTGCTCTGCCGCTGCTCCTTCCCGTTCACTTCCCAGCACCTCCCTCCATCGTTCCGGCTGCGAGACCACCCAGCCAGCCCCCCCCCCCCCCCGCCTCCACATCCTCCTTCCTACCCCCAGAGCACACGGTTAAGCACGTCTCTCCGCTCCAAGTGACAGTTGCTGCTACACTGCTGCGTGGGCGCCCATGTCCCCTGCCTCTGTGACCCCCTTCTTTGGAAGGACCCACAACCCAGGTGTTGTTTGTATTTCTGCTTCCCCCAGTGCTGCCGCCCTTCTGTGTGAACCCCATCCGCAGTCCCTTCTCACCCGGTGGCCTGGCGCCCTTTCTTTTTTAGAGGTTGCCTTTGAACACACAAGTGACATAAGAAGACAAATGAGACCCAGCTCTTCCTGACCCCCCCACCCCCATGCCTGCACTGACTTCTGTCGCCCAACCTGGCCAGTCTCTAAATGCCCAAGGGGCCCTTCGTGCACTGTGGTGAGGCTCCGGGTCATTTCCAATGTTCCCACAAAAAGAAGTGGTCATAACTGTGACCTTTGTGTGGGTGGGCTTCCAGTGGCCCACAAAGGAGTAGGGTTCACAGGGGAGAAGCCTGGGAAATGTCTCCTGCCCCACTCTAGGGGCAAAGGGTACAATAGGGCCACCAAGTGTCACAGCTTTATCCCCAGGTCCATCTCACAACCCCTGTCCTGACAGCCGGTGGACCCCTCTGGGTCCTCAGGGGCCTAAGAAGGCCAAGCAAGGCTGAGTTTCTTTCGTGTGGGGAAGGGTGCGGGGTAGGAAGTCCCAGGACCCCTGTAGGCCTACCTGGGGTCACTCCTGGGCCATCGGAGGTCACTGCGGTGCCTGTGACCGCTCGTGCTGTGTGATGCTGCACTGGAAGAAATAATCTTGCTAAGGATAGGCCCCAAATGCACAGATGAGACAGAAGGGTCAGCTTCACGAAAATGACCCTAATACGAACAAAGCACAATGAACGAAGCCCAGGAAGTCTGGAGAAAGGGTAATAAAACTAAAACACGTGAGACATTGTGTCTTCTGAGGACAGCCTAGTAGCTCTTCAGACAGTCTTGGTCACCTGGGTATTCGGACCCGCAGACTGGCACATGGATTCCTCAGTGGGCAGGAAAGAAGGCGCACCTGGTGAGGAGCCGAGACAGGTGCTGGGCAGGCTTGCCCAAGGCTTGCCCAGGGCCGGGACTCGAGAGGGGCGAGGTCCTGAGACAGCACAGGAGACTGTCGGCTTTGCTCTCCCGGCAGGCCAAGCCCTTCCAAGCCCCGCGGGGAGAGGAGGGGGAAGGGCGCCAGCCCAGGGAGGGTCCAAGTCCAGCCAGGTGCACTCGGCCCATCCTACGCCCAAGACCAACCAGGCCACCCCCAGGCTAGTGACCCGTCCCCGCTCCACCTGTGGCCTACCCCCCCCCCCACCCGCCACAAGCCACGCCCACGGCTAGTTACCCACCCTCCCTCCAACCGCCAGCCCTACCCATAGCCCTGGGACGCGTCCAAGCCAATCCCCTGGCCTCTTTCCCTCTAGAGGCTCGCCCTTCCCCGCCCACTTGTGGCCCGCCTCCCTTTTTCAAAGTCCCAGCCTACGCCACGCCCTCGACACGCCAGGGACCTGCCTTTCCCCACCCACCCGTCTACGGCTCCGGCCCGCCCCAGGGCTTGCCTCTGCCACGCCCAGGAAACGCCCCAGGCCACGCCCCGAGCCAGTGACCCGTCTCCTCTCCTCCCTATAGTGGCCCTGCCCCGCCTCTGTCAACCCCGGAGGCCTCTCTACGCCCACCTCGGCGAGTAGCCCGCCTCTTGTTCTGCCCCTGTTGTGGCCTCGCCCCAGTTTTGGGACCGCCCACTTGTGGTGGCGTCTCTGCCACCGCCCCCAGCCAATAACCCTTTCTCCTGGGACCCCGCCCCCTTTATTTATGGTCCCGCCCCTCCTTGGGACCCTACTCAAGTCTGGCTCCGCCCTTGCTCAATGACAGGTTCATGGACCCGCCCACCGCCAGTGACTCGCTTGCCCAAGACCCCGCCCCAATTTCCGTCACGCCCCCATCTCCATAGGTCCCACCTCACCACCTCCCCTTCGCCCCGCGACGCTAATTGGTTTCTTTCCAGAGAGCTTTCCCGGGCTCCGATAGGCTTCATCCCTTACCGTTCCTCCTTTCGATTGGCCCGCCGCGCCCGCTTTCGCGAGGCCCAGCACTTGGACGGGGCGGGGCCAGCGGCGGCGGGCGGCGCGGGATTGGTCAGCAGCGCAGAAGGGGCGGGCCCGCGCCGCGCGCAGCGCCTCGGCTGGAGCGCAAGGAGCGGCTACCGCCGCCTCAGTCGCCTCAGACTCGGTCGCCTCAGGCTCCGCCGCCGCCCGGATCGCCCGGTCGTCTCCAACCCTCGGCCCCACCCCGGGCTCCGGCCGGCCAGCCGGCGGGCACGCCCTCCTCCGCGGACAGGTGAGCGGTCGCGGGCGGAGCTGGGGCCGGGGGTTCTGGCCAGAGTCCAGGGGTCGGGCCGGGGTCAGGGCCGGGGATCGCGGTCGGGGGTCGAGGACAGGGGCGGGAGTGCGGGAGCCGGGACGGGGTGGGG